ACGTCCATAACCGGTGTCAGTAATTTACAAATGTGATTGTTCTGGGAAAATTTGAACAAATGTAATAAAAATCATTTTATTTAAATAAAATACAAAAACGATAATCGTTGCATACGATTAGAAGTCATTTTTAGAAAAAAAGAAAAGTGTTTTAACAACTTTCGAATAAAATCTAAGATTATTTGAATATTGTTCGAAGATAATTATTCGAAAACAGTTATTCGAATTGTAAATTGCTTGAATGATAATTAATCGAAAGGACAATTATACTAAATGGTAGTTTTCGTAATGCAAAATTCTTTATTGCAATAAAAATGTAAAATTTAAAAGAGGAAATACACAAATGATAATTATTTGAAATACAAATATTGTTCATAAAATAATTTAATAAGAAAAAATCCTCATAACCTGAAGTTATATGATACTGCACGCAAATAGTTAACTACCGAAAAGTAGATGTTAAATGATGCCACTAAGTATTTTTTTTAAGTTTTCTATTTACGTCATGGTATTTCTTGACGCTCTGGATATTTTAAAAACCTGCTCTTACTTTTGCAATATGAATTTCTTGCAAATCCTCTTGTCTCTTAAGAGCGTCTAAGAATGTCCATATTGTGGCATGATGAGATGACAACTGCTACAGAAAAACCCTATGCCATCCTTCAAGGGCGTTATTAGTTCTAGGTAAATCAGCATTGATTCTCTCAAAGCAAGAGCACATACATATTTAACACATAGGTATTTCGAATTATTATTATTATTATTACTATAACTATTTCCATTCGAACATCTACAATTCGAATAAATTTTTTTCGAATACTTTTTTGAATAATTTTCACGATACGCCATCTAATTTTAATCGGATTGCTATCCGGTGAAGGGTTTTAATCCTCACTTGTTAATGGTAGTTCGAAAAGTGTATCCTATGTGGTTTACACACGTTCGGCTGGTTTCTTAGTATGCAATAAAATTCTCATGAGACTTCATATTAGTTAATCCGATCAAGCGGTTAATCTGTTATGCATTAAGAAGATTGAACATAGCAATAGCATTCACTGAAATACTTTATCGACTCTAAGCTTATGTGGGTGTTAAGTGGTACACAAATATTTTCTGGGTTTATTATTGCGGAATCTCGTGATCCATGATATTAGATAAGCGTAGCAAACGTATAATCTGCTAGGTTTTAGGATCAAGGATCATCGCAAGAGAAATTACTGAAATGCCTTATCGATATTACGTTTAAGTGTGTAGTAATCGGATTATTGTTGCGGAATCATATCCCGTAATCCATGATATTAGATAAGCGGATTAAAGTTATAATCTGCTAGGCTTTAAGAACAAGGATCATCGCAAGAGAATTTATTGAAATGCCTAATCGTTATTACGTTTAAATGTGTAGTAGGCAATTCAGAAATTGTCATGATTGTTTCGTATTGTGGACTCCATGAAACATGATGTTCGATAATCCGATCTACTGGATAATACTCAGGGGCATTAGGAACACTAAAATAGAAGTAACGAGATCAAATTATTAACATTTATTAAACTTCCTTTCGTAAGAGAGAACTTCAATATTTCAATCCTTGAATGGAAGAATCTAGTGTATCTTGACAGTAGCAACTCATGCGACATTATATTGCTCCTCAGCATGCAAATACCCCAATGTATGGATCAGTTCTAAGAAATTTGGTATAAGAGATTGTCATACTATACCTATTCTGTTGTAATGGACTCTCCCATAGATAATAAGTAATAAGTAGTAGTAGCAGTCGCCAGTTTGGCGTGAGTGGTGTTTAGCGAGTCAGACGATATCGGACATTGAAGTACCAACCATCACAATTAGATTGCTGCGTCAACTCTTATTTTCAAGTTCCTAACGTTTTATACGTTGAACCTAATTCAGGACGACTTCTTGAAATACAAGCCTCCACTGTGAAAACTACTCCACAACCTGAGATGAAGAAATTGATCGTAGAATTGGCTGCATCGGAGCTAGTTTCGCTCAACACCGCAAATTGCTACAAAACTAAACCATCAACTGGAAAACTCCTGCCATGTTTTTAAATAGCCTCGTCAGAACGAGACTTTCATATGGATGACATGAAGGGCGTCAAAACAAGTTCAGAAATGGCGAAACTCTCAACAACCTTTTTCTGATATGGTTAGTTAATGATGACGTCGAACGAATGACGCCTGTAGAATGAATTTCGTGGACTGGCACTATAGGATCACAAAGAATTATACTAAATAAAAGAAACACCATCATTTGAGGACATTGAACAACAGCAACAATTAAAATGGAGAGCACATGTAACTCGAAGAGAAACTAATGATACAATCTAGATGTCAACGATCCACAAAACTTCAAATAAAAGAATATTTTAGGAAAGAGACCTTCGTCAGTACTGGAAATTGTAATGCTAGTTATTGGTGTTGAGAAAATTATTTTCATGAAAAATTGTATTAAGAGTGAGATTATATAAATTCCAAGCGACAGTAGTACTCCCAGCTAGATGAATGAATACCAAATACTTCATTGTAGGGAAACAGCTAACATTACTGTTACCATTAGGATGAAGAGATACACGTATCCGTTGAATTTGACTATATCGCAGATTGATTTCCCAATTATATTAACATCGTAAGCCGTTCTGTCAAAAGAGAAAGCTTGTGTAAAACAAATGTCGTCTGTTAACATTATCTATTTCTGATTCGCTTAAATTATCACAAGCTTATAGGATTAAAACAATCTGTGTGAATCATTGCAGAAATCATAAACCTTGAGGCAAGCAAAACTTTGGTCTATGCTGTGATTCCCAGGTAATCAGTGACATTCTTTCGATACGTTCCTATTATCAATAGTCATTTTTTAATAGATAAATACTGATGTACACTCTTCCGCTTTCTTTCTCCCCTGCCAGCTACGATCTTCCAAAATTAAAATGCAACCTCAATCGCCATCTTCTGTCTTCTTTATTTCTGTTCCTTTATTGCCCTTTTTCCTCACTAGAGGCATTAGTCTTAGTGACATTATTTCCTTGCTTGGCGTTAAACGATTAAAAAAATATATTTTTAGAATTAATATCTTCCCTAATTCGCTTTTTGTTTTTTTAAAAAATAAATATTTTGTTTTAAATTCTTTTGTTTAATATTCAAGGCTCTATATCGCGGATTGATTTCTCTATAATATTAACATCGTAAAACGTTCTGGCGAAAAGAAAGGTTATGTAAAAAATGTCTTCTGTTAAGTATCTATTTGTATTCTTCTAAATTAGCACAAAGCTATATGATTAGAAAAAATGTGTGTTAATCATTACATACGCTCCAAGACAAGCTAAGCATTTTTCTAAGTATAACCAGTTAATTGGTAATGTGCTATGAATATGTTATCGTACAATATCGTGTTAATATGCAATCGTTTTTGTTTCATTAAATATTAATGTATTTGTTATGAAATGTTATACGATTATCATAGTCGGTAATTAAACGCACGCCCACGACGAAACAAAATGTGAAACAAGGTTGGGTTTAATGTGAGTTAATCGGCAGTACCTTGGAGAAATTCTCGAACCACCTCCTCGGTGCTTCCCATTAACAATGGCTATAAACCCTGCCTCCTTCCGAAGGATATTTACTGCCTGAAGGTGCAACCCCAACTCCAGAGATGGGTGGCTTGAGCAAATATTATAGGCAGAGGTTATCGCTCTTCAGTCGACCAGAATACAATACTGGCGTATTATATTCGATATCTACTTGCCCTCCCGCCACATGCAGGCAGGATGCGACACAAGCTCCGTTTATTGTGAGGATGCCGAGCGCATACACCTGGACCAGGTCCCAAAAGTAGGCCATACTCTGCAACCGTTCGTTTTGCTGGCATCGATCTTACTACCGAATCGCTAGTGAAATGAGGAAGGTACGGCCGGGGGCATTGTTCCCCGGGACAGGGTACTCTCAGTTTTTTGTTTGCGCTCTTTCTGAAGACAAAGACACAACTGGGTTGCACTCTGTCTGAAGACAGAGACACTACTGAGAGGTGATAAACGAGATACAACACACCGAATCTCGCAAGCCCGACTCAAAAGACACGCCCTTCATATTCTGCTCCTCTCCTTGATGCCTGCCACTTATATACTCTCTCTGCATTAGACGTTTCAGTACAGTATTTTTCCCGAAGTTTCTATGCCCCCTTCCACCTATGATCTTCACAAACTTGAATGTGATCTCGATCATCATCACCTATCTCTTACTGATCAATTTCCTCACTAGTGGTATTAGTCTTAATGACATTATCGCCTGGCTTTAAGTGAAACGATTAAACAAAAAACTATTTTTTCATAATTAATATCTTTATTTATTTATGTTTTGGTGCTTTGAAAATTATTTTGTTTTAAATCATTTTGTTTAATAATCCAACGTAAAAAGAAAATAATAATTCTGTCTATATTTCTGAGATGCGGTATTATGTACACTATTTACATTATTCGGACTATTGTCCTCATCTTTGTCGCCATATTTATTACAACGTTTCGGCCGTTGTACGCTCCGGCCTTCTTCAGGTGGTTGGACGTTCGAACTGAACCCTTTATTTCGCTCACTGGGGTAGACTATTCTAGTTTCACATGCCATGTTTAATGGACGTCAGTTGTCAGTTATCTCATGTTAATTTTCCCTCTGAAAGTTCTTCACTGCCTTAGCCGGGGATTGAACTCACACTGTTTGGGTCCTGTCACTGGATCTAACTAACGCCTTTATCCACTGTACCAAGTTGGAGGGGGAAATTCACAAGAGATAACTGAAAACTGACATCCATTAAACATGACGCGTGGAACTAGAACAGTCTACCCCAGTGAGCGAAATAAAGGGTTCAGTTCGACATTCCAACCACCTGAAGAAGGCCGGAGCGTACATCGGCCGAAACGTTGTAATAAATTTGGCGACAAGGATGAGGATAATAGTGGGAATAATGTATATAGTGAAAATAATAATTATTGGCATTATGAAAGTAGCAGGAGGAGAATTGGTTGAGGAAAACGAGCGAAGATTTGGGAGGCAGGAAAAAAGAAAGCGAAAAAAGGAACAAGAGAGAGCGATATAAGAGGAATTGGAATATGAGGAGGAAAGTAAAGTAAATAAGTATATGGAATGTATTTGTAAACAAAGGTATGAATGGTAGCGTGGAGAAAGAAATAGAGGAAGAACATTTGGAAAAAAAGAAGAGTAAAATAATGAGGAAGAAGGGAAGGAGATTGCAAAGAAAGAATGAAATTAAAACAGGAAAAAGAAAGAAAGAAAGAATGCCAGATATAAAGAAATAAGGAAAGGATGCATACATACATACATACATAAAGAAAGAAAGAAAGAAAGAAAGAAAGAAAGAAAGAAAGAAAGAAAGAAAGAAAGAATAAAAAAGAGAAAGAAAAAAGAAAGAAAGAATGCAAGACATAAAGAAAGAAAGATAGAAAGAAAGATGAAAGAAAGAATGCAAGACAAAGAAAGAAAGAAAGATAGAAAGAAAGAAAGAAAGAAAGAAAGAAAGAAAGAAAGAAAGAAAGAAAGAAAAACAAAAACAAACCCAAAAAAGAGTGGAGTGGACCTGAGAACCTTAGAAGTAAAGGAGATTCCAAAGAAAGAAAGAAATAATCAAAGAAAGAAAGAAAGAAAGAAAGAAAGAAAGAAAGAAAGAATAAAAAAGAGAAAGAAAAAAGAAAGAAAGAATGCAAGACATAAAGAAAGAAAGATAGAAAGAAAGATGAAAGAAAGAATGCAAGACAAAGAAAGAAAGAAAGAAAGAAAGAAAGAAAGAAAGAAAGAAACAGGAAAAAGAAAGAAATAAAGAACGAACGGAAGACAGAAAGTAAAAAGAAAGAACGGAATAAAGAAAGAAAGAAAGAAAAACAGGAAATGAAAAAAGAATGAAAGACAGAAAGAAAGAAAAAATAAAGAAAGAAAAAGGAGATGAACTTGAGAACCTGACAAGGAAAAGAGATTCCAAAGAAAGAAAGAAAGAAAGAAAGAAAGAAAGAAAGAAAGAAAGAAAGAAACAAACAAACAAACAAACAAACAAACAATCAAAAACAGGGAAAAGAAAGAAAGAACTAATGCAAATAGAAAGAAAGAAAGAAAGAAAGAAAGAAAGAGGAGAACCCGTCAATAATAATAATAAAGTACCGTTCGCCATACTGAGAAGATTGTATTGCGTTAATGTTTCATGTAAAATCTTAACATGTAAGGAAGCCATTGCATTTAAATGAACATGGTGTCAGAAATAAACACATGATTGTCGAATAATATGCAACACAGCATGGATTGAAATTTTCTTTTTTATTTCCACACACAAATGTGTAGCGACAGATATTTCTAATTCAGTTCACAGAATAAAAAATTCTATCCTTTTATTCTTTTAATCATATACACGAGCCATTGAACTAGATTTGCTAATGCTTAATTGTCGTTGCCGTCGTTTTTGCCTTTATAGAAAATATCTTTTCTTTATTTCATTCGCATCACTTATATTTTTACAACGCTTTCTATATTCATTCAATAAAGAGGTTTAATTGTTCACTAAAAGGATGAAAACGAGGCGATACATCTGACAGTAACAAGTTTAATAGAAGGATATACGCCACTGTTTTTGTTTTTAAATACGTTGTCACTGACAAAGATCATGGTCAGAGAGAATTAATGAACAGAGACAGGGGAAACTATTTACATTGTTCGGACAGTTTTCCCTATCTTTATTATCATATTCAGCAGGTTTCAGCCGATGTACGCCTCGGCCTTCTTCAGATGATAAAGGTGTTGGTTGAAGTAATCCAGTGACTTGATCCAAAGATTTGTGAGTTCAATACCTGGCCACAGTAGAGTTGAGTTAGTAAAGGAAATTAATTGAAACTGAGATATCCAGAAAAGGTATGGCACGTGAAGTTAAAACAATCAACCCCCGTGGAGTAAATAAAGGTTCGAAATTCCAACGTATATCATCTGAAGAAGGGCTGGAGTGTAGAATGGTCGAAACGTCCTGAATATGAGAATAGACGAGGAAAACAGTCCAAACAATGTCAATAGTGCAAATAATTACAATACGTCATCTCAGAAATTTCAACAGAAGAGTAAGAGGAAGCACTTTTCTCTTAATGACACTGAATTTATTTTACTAACGTCGTAAAGTTCCTACACGCACACTTGTAGTAGTAGACGTTTACTAGCTGCTCTATATATAGCATTCTGCCTAATATATAGTGGTATGGCTATGCTAATTAGTATTAGCCTAACCAATCCCAATACAACTAAAGTAATAATAACATCATTTTTTTTCGTAATAAATATCTTCACTCATTCATTTATTGATATTGTGAAAAATAAATATTTCATTTTTTTTTCTTAATAATCTCTTCTAATCTTTTAGTAAAAACGTGACTGCGGATAATCGGAATGTACTTTCTTTTTTTTTTTTTTTCATTTAACAGTTGCGTATTTTACGTGCTTTCTCTACACACTTGATTTCCCGTTTCATATTTAAACGGATCTTCACGTTTGTAATATCTTAAAATAAAATATTCCAGCACAGGAAAACAAACGGAAATATATTTAAAAACATTTGAAGCCGGAAATCAATTAAATTTCATTTTGAAGTTATCTCAAGTTCTTGATTTACAAATCGCCTAAAACGGTCGCTTCCACGTGGTGTAATGATTAGCAACCATGTCTTGGTAGGTTAACCCTAGAACACTAACCATGGGTACATAGTACCCAGCGCAAATTTTCCTATTTTTAATTACAATTTTCAGTACCTGATTTGCTTACCCAAATAATATGTTTTTCAGTTTCTATTAATGTTAACTCAAAGTACAAAGTTTGAAGTGTTTGCATGTAAAATATTTCAAATACAGATTTATATGTAATATTTTATTTTTTTTTATCTTTTCAAAATCGGGTATGATATACCCATGGTTAATAGTGGTGTAACTTTAATTGATGGTTAGTGTTCGAGGGTTAATTATGACTGAGCAGTGAGTTCGATCCACATTAGGTGCTCCATAATTTCGGCCTTGTGCCACGTCTAAATTACGCTTAGAAACTAATAGTGCACGTTGACGTGGAGTAATGGTTTGCAAGCTTGTCTGGATAGATCAATTATGACAGCCTAGTGATTTCGATCCTCACTGGGTACCCCATAATTTCGGCCTTTTACTAAATCTAAACTTTCGGCATTTTGACATGGTGCAAGTGTTAGAAAGCTTGTGTGAGTAGTGAGTTTCATCCTTAATGGGTGTTCCATATTTTCATCCTTGTGCCATATCTAAGCTATGCTTAGAAAAAACATTTAGGGTACTTCGACGTGGTGTAATGGTTACCAAGCTTGTCTAACTAGATCGAATACGCTTGAGTAGCGAGTTTGATCCGCACTGGGCGCTCTATACTTTCGGCCTTGTGCCACATCTAAGTGTAGCATAGATGTGGCACAAGGCCAAACATTTGGGCACATAGACGTTGTGTAATGGTTAGCAAGTTTGTCCGACTAGAACAATTACGAGTGAGTAGCAAATTTGATCCTCACTATCTGCGGCACACTTTCGGCCTTGTGCCAGATCTAAGCTACGCTTAGAAAATCATTCCCCAATTTTCCATGCTATTGTCGTTAAACCAACATTAATCTGACCTTCTGTCATATTGTGTAGCGACGGCAGATCACTGAAAAATACCCATATTTAAACGGATCATCATCTTTGTAAAATCTGAAAATAAAATATTCCTGAATATTAGAACGCACTAACAGATTTTTTTTTCTCTTTTTCATGACGTTTGAAAATAAATTAAGTTTTATTTTGAAGCTTTCTCAAGTTGCTAATTGAAGGTGGTGTCATCGTGAGCAAGTTTTTCCTACTCAGTCAAATAAGACTGAGTAGTGAGCTCAATCCTCACTGAGTGCTTTTCGGCCTCGTGACCCATGTGAACTATGCTTTGTAAATCGCTATAAATCTCCAAGGTAGCCACAGTGACCACAATTATATGTCTAGAAAACTTGGGAGGACCACCATTTATTTTAATTCGTATAATGTTCACAGTTTTTCCTTGATTTCCTCACGGGATCGATTCATGCACAAGTTAGGATCATAAGTAAATGTTGGGCAATGTATCGCATAATTTTCTATCAAATGAAATTTAGATGAGATTTTAATGTTTGTATACGTATACCTCAGAATTTTCTCTTGCGAATGTAGATAATTTTTTTGAAGTTAGATCACATATTTAAGAAGAATCATGTGCGTATATCCCATCACTTAAGCAGCACCGATCGGCGGATACTGTGGTCTAATTGTTATCAACCCGGATTCGAAACCGCATATAAAAAAGAGGTTCTTTATTGCCTTTTGACTCCGGTGGAGTAATGGATAGCGGCTCGGATTGAGGAATCAGAGAAGCGATTTCGAATTCCAGTCGGATCCATTACATTCACTTACGTGTTAATACCCTTGGAAAAGGTATGAATCCACTTCTCTCTCCCATCCCCTCAGCTATGGGTAAATAGCAGGATAGACCAGGTTCCTTAACGTTGGATGGCAACTGGTCTACCGCTGAAAGAAATGGCAACCTTCTGCGTGAAAAAAATCTGGCTCGTAGGTCATGTATCGAAAGATACGTGATCGCCTACGCGTGTATCAAGCATAGCACATAACTGACTGAGTTTACACATTAACTCAATTTAAAATAAAGAATAGAAACAGCCTCAAAACAGTACCTGATATGCGTGTAGCATTGTCTTCCTGTGTTTTCATTTGGAATCAGCTGCTTATGAACAAACATGCAAATCTATCTCATTAAATGACTTTTTTATCAAATATTATTTACTTTACCATTGTGTCAGAATTTTCTTCTAAATTTGTTTTTCTAAAAGTAATAATTTTATATTCATACAAATAGAAAATACAAATAGATACATGGAATCCCAATATGTGAGAACCATAAGAAATATGTATATGAATTGTCGATGCTAAGTAAATGAACCGAATAAACAGATTTTCTCTTCTATTCTTTGACATGTAGGTAAATGCAAAATGTCTTTCTTGCTGTCGGTCGCAGTAAAGAAAAGTTTGAAAAACTATGCAACTGAGCAATTTTTATCTGTTCTCTTATATTTACCATTCTATAGCTTAATAAAAGAAATCGTAAAGTAATTTACTATGAAATTATTCGATAAAATAAGAACGATGAAGGAACAGGAAGACTATCAACCTTAACAGATACATCTGAAAATGCAACTTCCATGAACGTTGTTAAAGATGATAACCTTAGCAAGTAAACGTTGACTTCTTTTGAGGCACCTAATAAGATGAAAGTAATAATACTTCACAGTGAGGAATACTTGCAATATGGATGAAATACTAAAAATCTATTTATTAGGTTGGTGCAAAAATAATGACGTAATAATGTCGTTTTTTGACCTTAAAAAATACGTCAAAAACGACATTATTACGTCATTATTTTTGCAACAACCTAATACTTTACCTTTGTGTCAGAATTTTCTTTTAAATTTGATTTTCTAAAAGTAATAAATTGATATTCATACAAACAGAAAATACAAATAGATACATGCAATTCCAATATGTGAGGATCATCAGAAATATACATATAAATTGTCAATGCTAACTAAATAAACGAAGTGAACAGTTTATCTTTGATTTATTACACGTTCGTATAATAGGTCGCAATGCAAATGTGGTTCTTACTGTGTGTCGCAGTAAAAAAGTTTAAAAAAACGCTGGCCTAGAAACTAACCCCTTACTCACAATAAGCTAGCTATGACCTCTTCTTTAATGCAAGATACATATAATAGTAAATTCAAGTGATGATAAATTTTCAAGAAATATCTTACTAGAAACCATTATAAATCCATTGGATACAAAATAATATTTACCGTATAATTCCGTGCATAAGACGACCTTTAAATACCTCAAATCACCCTTAAAAATTGGGTGACATTTTATCCCACATATCTAAAAAAAAAAATAAACCTTAAATTTTGAGTTATGCTTGCTCAGTGCGATAACGTACATGAAAAGATTCATATTATCAAATAAACTGATAATAAAAGTAATTTAATCATTACTACCTTATATATTAATGGCAAAACTTCATACCTATTCGAAGAATAATTCCATATCAATGAAATCAACTTGT